CACCCCTCCTCCTGCCGGGCGGGGAGCGGCCATCAACATCCGGGGCGGGAGGAAGCGGGGGGCGAGGAGGCGCCGTTTTTGTGAGGAAAAATCCCTCCAAAGCGGCTGGGGGGAGCTGGGGAGAGCTGTGCGGGGTCCCTCAGCCCCTAGGTGTTGTGCGTTGGCTGAGGAGGAGGAGGAGAAGAAGCTTCTCACAGGGTAACGTTTGCGCTCGTTCTGTCCCTGATTTTAAAACGCTGTGAGGTTTGGGGGTTTTTTTCTGAGTTTTAGTGAGAGAAATCTATAAAGGCAAAGGATAGCAGGGGAAGAATCCCTAGGGTGGTGGAGGAAGAGCTGTGGGTGGTGCACGGGAATGGAGGGGGTTTGGTGTGAGGTGCTCAGGCCCTGCTTGGCTGGTTTGTCAGTTTCTCTGTGTGTGTGCCTTGGTGTTTACCTTCAGCAAAACTCAGCCTGAACTGCTAGAGGGTTTGTAAACCCCTTGGCTGGCTCTTGCCCTGACCAAAAGAACAGTTTCCAGATGGGGATGATGTAGAGTTTGAAGCTATCTCACCTACTACATGGCTGCGTTGGCAATACTTTTGAGCTTTGCTGCTGTAATTTTCTTCTTTAAGGGTTCCTTTTTTTATTTTTTTTTTTTCCTATTAAACTGGTGCCAAAGTAGATAACAGCTACACTGGGAGAAAAAGAATTCTTCTTGCAGTTCAAGGACATGCACAGTGAGAGGAGACCTCAGCGGCACAAGGCCAGAGAGATGGAGGCGAGACTTTGGTTTGAGATAAAGGAGAGGAGCAATCGAAGGGAGGCTGCTGGAGTAAAAAGGCAGAGGAGCAAGGAAATGACTTTAATGCAAGCATACTGAGGGAATATTAATTTGTTCATTAAAATTAGTGTATAGTCAATGTCCAGCTTTTGCAGAAGACTTAAGCCTCATTACTTGAAAAACAATCTCTTGCTAAGCTTGCAACAATTATAAAGTCAAGAGACAGGACCCTGCTGGGGCCTTGCTATGCTGATGTCTGTCTGCATCCCCTCTGCCCGTCAGCAGCTTGGCTGAACAGGGTGGAAAATCGCCTCTTCAGAACTTTTTTTGCTACTCGGAGCAGACATAGAGAACAGGAGGGGGAGCTGTAGTATTCAGGTTTTTTCAACATCCTGAGCTCCTTCCTTTGAGTGAAGCCTGTATCCAGATGCATAGCAGAAAGAAGGGATGGGAAGGGATGCAAATCAGAGTTAAAACTGGTGGCATGACAATCTTCAGGAAATAATTATATAAAATAAAACAGTGTTACAATACTGATGGGGGATGCTGCAATCAATTTTGTAAGTGTGTTGCTTTAGCTTTTGAGGGTAAGTGGTGTTCAAGTGTTGTTTTTTCTTCTGCTTGTAAGGGGTAAGTTATCCATGATATTTTGAACAAACAAGCACTTTTTTTTTCTTACGCTTCTTAGCAAAATGGCCTGAGATGTTCAGAACTGTAGAGCTTCTTTTAAGACTGTGTTTCCCTGTTTCTGTCAGTTATTAAAGAACTGCAGTATGGCACAATGCTGTTCTTGCATTTGTGGTGAAAATAGTTTTTCTGAATGTGTTGAAGTCATTTTAAGAATTACCAAAATCTGACAATACAGGTATGTTGTTTTCTCAAATACTGTTTGGAAACACGTTGAGGTAGCTTAGTGTGTGTTTGTGTGGGGGGGGTTGTATTATGAAACCATATCCAAAATCTCTATAATTTGTCACAAATTTAGATTTAATCCTAACCGGTAGGGGGGAAAAAAAAGCGGCATATAAAAAGTGTATGGGGTTTTTTTGGGGTTTTTTTTGTGGCAAGTTAACAGATCTGAAAGCATACTGGGCTTTTCTTGGTGAGTGAAGCTGTAAGAAGAGTCATGGCTCAAATCCCATACAGCAAGAACAGATGTGTATTTCCAGTGCTTTGATTAATTCCTAGTGTCGGTGCAGCGTAAGACTGCGTAAGAGTAGCTAGCTCTTGTATGTTGTTTTTCATCACTAGATCTAACAGCATTTTATAACAAGATGCTGTTAAGACACACATTGATGTCCATCCTAGTATGGATACACTTTAAATAAACACAGCATTCCTGGAAATGTCTTTCTCCAACACCATTAGTAAATGTGGTGCATTTTATTGTACCAAAGTCACATCCACAAACTGCAATGTATCATTACAGATATTATTGCAAGTTTGATCAATCTGGAAGGCAAATGAACCAACAATGTTCTGATTATAATTAAAGATACAAAAATTAGAGCCACACATAATCATAATGCCCCAACATAGTGCTTAAATAAATAGAGTTTTAAAGACAGGATCATCACAGATGTTTTTGGATCATTAAGTGAGTGTAAGCATCCTCTGCCCTGTTTTAAGGAGCAAGGATAAGCCTTTAAGGAAAGAATTTAAAAAAAAAAGCATACAGTGGACATGCCATCATACATGTTTTAACTCTACCACAGCTTGCTTAAATCTGAGGTAAGCACAAGAAAGGAAGTGCTGTTGTTGGCTGGGTTTTCTTGAGGGTGCTGTTCTTTTCAACACTTCGATATTCTTGAAATAAATTGTAAATAACATTTTTAGTCACAGTCAGGTATCCACGTGGAGTGCAGTGGAGAATCAAGACCTTTGTAAGATACTCCATCAGTTTCCAAGGAACTCATGTGTCCTATGGGAACAATGGGGCCTTAGCACATAGGATTATTCTGCCAATGTGATCAGAGGATTTGCTTCTGCAGTTTAGAGTAGTCCATCAAGTGATAGCCCATCAGGTACTCTCAAAACAGTGGCATTAAAATAGTGACATTCAACTATTAATAGTAAACAGCAGCTTCTAAAAACTAATACACTTCCCCCCCCCATGAATCAATCTTTGAGAGATGCCAGAGGCACACTAAAATTATAATCTGGTATGTAAAAAATACTGCTTTCTTGGTTCAATATTTAAAGTGGTCTAATCCTCTCCAATTTAGGTTTTAATATCCTATTTTCTACTCATCTAGCTGCCTTTCTCAAATGTTTCCTATTAACATTCATTTATGTTCTTGTTGGCTTTTTTCAGGTGGCCAAGTAAAATAATAGCAGCTTGTTGTTTTGATAACCCTGATTATTTTTCAAGCAATTACAAATATAAAACAGGAAAATGTAAAGAAGGGACAACCTGCATAGTAGAAATATAGGGTTTTTGCAATTATTGACACAAAATGTAGGCTTCCAAAATACTACTAAAAACATTCTCTGTATGAGACAATGTGACATTACATGGTGTTTGGAATAGGACCTTTCCTATATTAACATACAAAAATATACTCTGTTAAAAGTTAACAAAAATAACTTAAATTTTTGAGAAGCAAGACAAGTGCTTGTTGGGACGGAAACTCCATTTGGTTATGTTGTGTTTACAGTAAGCCTGCTAGCCGAAACTGCTGGCCTTCTGATGCTCCCTGTTGGGATGTCCATACAACACCTGTACGTTTACTGAAAAGAGGGTTCCCTTCTTCATCACCTTTTGTCTGTCATCCCTAAAACCGTGGTTGGAAGTTACTGGCTTAAAATCTGTCCTCAGAGATCGGTGAATTTTTTTAAGAGATGGGGTTACAACAGTATCAAAAAGCAAATAACAACGATGGGAGTTTCTGAACATCCTTGCTGCATTGCGGCTTCAAGTCATACTCTCAACTAGTTAATTTTAACATTTTGGCTTTATTCTTTACATTAATCTTACAAAATAAAATGAGGCACTGATACGTTATTGCTTGTTTGTGTGAAAGGACCCTGTGCTTTGGTTTTCAGGGGCATGACATAATGAGCAAGGGAAAGAATTATTTCCCTGACAACAAAACAGTTTATCCTCTGCGTTTAAGGACAAGCTAATACATAAAGGGTAAGATGACTAATTCAGTGGAGTAACTTCATTTCAGTGAAGTTGAACGTTGAGGATATAAATGTTCTCTACTATGCATTTACTATGCAATTCACAACTACTACTAAACATTTCTCTCTTTAGCTGCACCGAGCTCCACACCTGTGGTCTTGAATCAATAAGAACAGTCACTTAAAGCAGTGGGGGTTGTCTCTGAATGCAGATTTTGAACTTTAAAACATTCTAAAGATTTATTTTAAACCTGAAATAATAATAATCTTCAAACAAAGAGAAGCTTAAGTGGTTCTCTTGAGATTTTCATCAAGATGTAATCTTTTCGTAAAAACCCAATATACCAAATTCAAACCTAAACCACTTCCCTTGCTTCCCCTTTCTACAGACTCCTGAAAGAATGCTTTAACAGTATGTTTTAACAACCAACGACCATTTTGAATGCAATATTAAAATAAATAGCCTAGTACAGAGAAACATGCCTCCGAGTCATATACCCATTGTGCAACGACACCGTTCCTCTGCAGATGGAGCAAGATCATTACAAGTCAGAAGTTATTTTAGAGACAATTTAGCTTTTGATGCTTTTCCAAGAGTTCCTTTACTAGTTTCTCTAAGGAGAAGAGATGTTCATCTGCATCTTCTGGTACAAGATTCCTCATAGAATTGGCGAGTTCAAACAGGTATTCTGTATTCCTTCCGCTAGGACCAACTGCATTACAGATCTGTTCAGCAATTTCTTCTAGAGGCGCTGGGCCAAGGTAGTTCGGGTTATCGCAAGTTCCAATGTATAACAACACGTCAAACGGCTTCACTGATGAGCCCTTCGGATAGAAAATGACAGTCGTAGTCCTGTAGCCTCCTTTCTCTCTGAAGTCCAGGTATGCCTTGACTTCACATTCCTGGCCAGCTGGCAATCTGTAAGCAACACCCCATACAGACCCCTGGGGAAGGACATAAGAAAAGAAAATCCAAGCAGTGTTTAAAAGGATATTCAAAAATTAATGTATTTCTATTGTATGTAGGCAAAACTTTCTTTAAAAAAAAAAAGTTCTTACATTTTCAGTCTTTTTTTATAGCTATTTTTTCACACTGTTTGTAAGAGTCCCAAACTAAACGGGCTGCTTTATTTAGAACATTTTCAATCAAAATGGTAATCATGCAGATTGATCATACACTTCCTTGCTAATGCTGAGGTCTTTCTTACAAAACAATTTCTTGTTTCAATTAAATTTGAAATAGTAAACAGCCTTGGCAGGGGCTGCTAAGGAGCTGGCAAAAAGGATGCAAAGTATCTTCCGGACCTCACAAAATTTGTATCTGAAAATTAAAATTTTAAGTAGTCTGCTAGCAACATCACGTGTGGATTCTTCCTGCAGTTAAGTTGGTGTATGTATCAGTGCAATAGTAATGATGACAACGCAATTAAGTTTTGTTTTGTTTGGGGTTTTCTTTCCCCTAAAACTGGATCTTAGTATTTAGTCGTGATACCAGACGATGCTGGGTGGTGGTGGTAATTCATGAGCGTTGAATTTTGCAGTCAGACCATATGCTGGTCAAAGGCATTTTATTAAAAAAAAATCAGGAGTTCTTTTGTCTTGCATACTTTGTAGATGGTTACAGCATTTGATGTGCTGGGGCCAGGAACAGCACTCAACGAGTACAAAAATGGGTTCCTTGCTTTTCCTCAGCCATCTGCAATGGGGGTTCACTCCAGCTGTCTGCAGGAAGCGTGTTAGTTGTAACTCCCAAGAAATTTTTGGAGAGCTTTTAATTGCACTAAAGATAACTCAATTATTTGCTTGTAGAGAAGCAAAAATTAATCGAGACTTACTACACAGGCTGGGAATGCAATGGGACATTGTGTACCCTACAGAGACAGAACAGGAGTACTATACCTCAGGATCCTCAACCAGGGTCACAACTCTTCCAGGCTAAAATAATTAAAAAAAAAAAAAAATCATGGTTCAGTTAGAGGTTTTTACCCTAAATCATGAACAAAACCAAAACAAAACAAGGAAGAAAAAAAAACAAAAAACAGAAAGGGTCAGAGAACTAATCCAGGACAATCTCAAGAAGGTCTAGTTCTTTGAGGTCCAGTATATAAATATTTTCAGAGAATAGCTTTTGCTCTGTACTAGATAAACCGTGATAAACCAAATGTTCAAATCTGAGTGGAAAGCCCCTGCAACACAGAAGTTAAATTAAGGGCAGCCCTGAATGGGGAGGTTTTGAACATCCTTGCTTCGTATGTGCTGTCCAGACTCAGTTCTATTCCTGTTCAAAATGGTGACAGTAATTAATTAATGTAAAGCTGCCCTCAGCACACCTTCCTCCATCATGTTGCTTTTCCACAGTACCATGCAATTTTTTTATCTCCGGAGTGACAAGGAGGTGAACCTTCTCATTCAAAAATGTAATATGCGGGCATGGAAAATAACGCAGAAATCTAGTTTGCATAGAGCTAGTGAGATATCGCCACTTCTGGCTTGGTTTGCACTAACTGGATTTTAGAAAATGTTAATTACACACCATGACACATGGCAACTCCTAGTTAAAGGCTCCTAGCTCATTAGATGTTTTTGAAAACATAATAGCAAAGAAATTTGCTAGTAATTTTTAGTAAGGATCTTGTTATTGAAAGTTGGGAAAAAAAATATGTTTATTGTGCAAAAGACAATTTTCCTGTTCTTTTCCCCCTCCCAGCTCACTCTCCCTTACTGGACAGCGGGAGGATACCTTGGTAATGGATTATTTTTCCAATAAGTTACTTCTTACGGGAAGAATAAGAAGCCAGTTTGTAAATACTGAAAACTGTTGAAATTTGTTGTATAACCTGGAGAATAAAATTTTAAACCATAAAACCCTATGGAGAACTACATCTGTAGTTTAAAATTGTTAATTTTGGCATTAAATTAGCGTAAGAGTGTGAAATTCAGTCTCTTAGGGGTTGCAAAGAAAATCTGGAATTGATATACTGGATGCCTGCCCTTCAATTAGTCTTAGCTAACTTTCCGCCTTGGGCTACTACACTTCAGCCTTTCTATGACTCATCACTGATAGTTTCGTTGACTTGTCCATGTTTTCCTGTGTGATAAGTCCGTACTTGTGTTTGTCTCTCTTGCGCAGTAACAGCGTAGGGTTTTCTCCTACGCTGAGCCTACAGGTTTTCTAGTTTTTTTTCTAGGTTTTCTCCTACACCGAGGGAAGGACAGGATATTCCTTGTATGGGTTTGCAGAGTTCTTTTATAAAACATCTATAGATGACCAGCTATAGAACATAAACCAAAACCATTTCTGTTGTGCCCAGGTACTGGCGAGGGCAAATCCGAATGATCTCCTAGAGCAGGTGTATTTGAGGGGTTTGTGTCGGTTCTGTGCAGCCCCCTGCCAGCACGGCTGACAAAGGCAACCTCGCGCTGGAGCAGCAGCGTGCGCTGTGGCCGCGCGAGGATTTTCTGAGGCACCTCTGGTGCTAAGGGCCATCGTCCCTCTGAACCAGAACAGAGGCCACTGTGGGAAATGCAATACACCTTGTTTGAGCTCTTAGTGTTGTATTTCAGTTCGTAATTTTTCTCAGAAAGGGAGGTGTAAGTTCGCTAGTAAGTAGGAATGTAATAATTTAACACGCTTTCCTTAAAAGCACAAGTTTATTTAAACAAAGCGTCGCCTCTTCTGCTTCCTTTTCCTGTGGCTCATTATGGCATAACCATCCATCCTCTCCCTACAGCCCCCTCGCTGGCAGCCATCCGAGGGGAGGAAACCGCCAGGGTCAATGAGGGAGTGGCGGAGGTGGGAAGGCATCTGTGGAGATCCTCCAGGCCAACCTCCTTTTCTCTCCATTTCACTTTTTAAGATAATGAAGGGCTTGTCGTTTGTTAAATGATTTAACCTTAAGCTGACCCAGTAATTCTCTGCATTCGTAATCTAACAAAACTTCTCTGATTTCACATCCTGCAAACTATAAAACATGGCACCATGATTACACATCGCTTTATAACCTGTTACCCGTCTTACTACAGCAGGAGTTGAGCAGTTCAAAGGGCAAGTACAAGGTCATCCAAGCTTTGTACTAAGAGCTTGCAGCCGCTGTACGTAAAACTGCTCTGCGTGTTTTTGTTGCCCTGACCGTGGAATGTTGGAGCAATGAGTGTTTTCAGGAGAGGTTTTTTAACTTGTTGGCTACTACTTTGTTGCTGTTCTTTACAATGTGTTCGTACATGTAATTTTATAGCAGCGAGCGTTTGGCCTGGTGAAATGGGAGGTCCCCGCTGCGTGTTTTCTCAGCGTACACTGAGGGAGCCTTTTTGCCTTGCAAGTAGGAGTAACAACTCCTGGGCTGCAGGAGTACAAAAAGGCGTTAGCTTGTTGATGCTGAGAAAAAGTGTATTTAGTTAATGCCAAGTGTTTATATAAAATGCATTAACCAGTTTACATAAATAATGACCTGTGCCCTCAGTCTCTACAAACAAGCATCTAAACAGAACAGAACAAAGCATGGACTTGGGTGGGGTTTTTTTTTTCTGTTTTAAGGCTCTGTATGCCTGCAGATGATGGTTGTGGGTATGATCTTGACACAGGCAGAAATAAAAATGTCTAAGCATCTCGGAACCCAGTACATGCTAGTTGGTAGTGGCCTGGCATTGCCATTTTGCAAGATTCCCAATACATGCACGATTCGGTCACTCTGAGTATTCCCCTGAATCTCAGATAGGGAGGTCACCAAGGAGACTTGCAAAAAGGAAGAAAAACTGGTCTGTGCGGGTTTTATTCCTTTCTGAAGCCCCAAGAGTAGGACTTTCTCTGTTGAGTGGTGATTTTTTTTTTTCCATAAAAAGCCTGGTTTCCTAAGAAGGGGAGGCTGATGGGATCACACTTTTTTTACACCCCACCCCAACAATTTTTGCACATTCCTCCAAATTCAAGAGAGGAACAGAAATTTCACAATGCTCACACAAACGTAACCTTTGAAAAGGGAAGACTGGTAGATGAGAAATTAGCGTTCCCACTAAGAAAGCAAACGATAGCTGTCCCGTCAGCAAGGTCTAACCACCTCTCTGTGCAAGTTAGTTTATGCTGTTTGAAGTTCTAGCTAGCGCTATTTAGAACTAGATGAAAATTTCTTCCATGCTGCGTGTAGCATGCTGTGTTTTATTATCAAAGATAATCCCTGCACCTTCCCTGGAGGAGCTCTCTAAAGCCGTGTTCCAGTTTTTGGGTGGAGTTATGGGGCGTGGGTTCGAAGACTGCTTTGGTGAGCATCAGGAAAACCCACTTTACTGGCCCAAAAGCCGCACTCAGAGCAGGTAAAGTGTTAGAGAGCTGTCTGCAAGCACCAGTTTCTGTACAGGTATGATCAGCTGGCATTTCTGCTGACTAAATCCCGAGCAGCACCTGCAGCTCTAAATACCAGCCCTGCCGCATCCAAGTCATTCATCTCGCTCCCGGGGTGCCTCTGTCACCCATCATTTCTGTAAGGTTTGTGAGCTATTTAGAATTATATCGGGGTGGCAGCCCTTCTGCGGGGAGGGTGCTGCGGGCTTTCAGGGCTCTGTTATTCGTCCTCCTGTGCCTTAAAAATACGTAAGTTGACATTAAATTGGGAACGCTACTTCTCGAATTTTTTAGTTTATTTTTCATGGTGGGTTTTTTCTTTTTTTTTTTTTTTTCCTCCCCTTTGCTTTTCCAAACAGTAAATTTTTCCTCATCCATGAGTTTCCATTTGAAAGGAAAAACAGCTGAAAGTCACTGAGCTCCAACCCTTCCAGCCTTTACTTATTAACCCTTTCTCTTCCAAGCCCGACCCCCCACCGAGGCATTTTCCCTTCATTATTCATTGTCTATAATAAGTAACTCGGTCATTCCCGACCTATTAAAACGGACCGAGGGCTATTTTTGTCACCATTTTTTCTTCTCCGCTTTGAAGTCCATGGTGTAGTTTGGCTGGGGGAAGGCCGGCTC